AGTGATGAATCTTGCTGGCCTCTTCCCGACCCCCGTTTTAGAGAGGTGTCCATCACTCTTGACACAAAAGGCACGGGAAGGAAAAAGAGAGAGAACCAGATCAAGTAAATGGATGGCAGATGGCCGTGGTAGTGAAGGTGAACCACTTTTCCGTCCCTGTGATCCGGGCATCTTCTCCGTAACACATCGCCACGCCTGGATGACCTAAGTGGCTCTCGGCCTTGTAAACACGTCGCTCAGCCCATTTCACAAGCGACAGCAGGAAGACGCTGTGTCAGCTTCCTGCCTCAGCAGGAATGGCTGCCATTGATTTACGGCATGGATTTATGGCAGCAAACACTCTTCCAGGCTCCTGTTGTCCCATAGTAGGGTCTGAATAAGCAGAATTATTGAACTTTTGAAGGGCAGATGAGAGACTTTCCCATGGCAAGGTGGATCTGTGAAAACAGTCCATTGCACAAACGGCAAGTACCCACAGCCAACGGATTTGTCGGCTACTTCGCCTGAATGCAACTTCTGGTGATAAGTACTTATTTGCTCTACGAATGGAGAAGATCTGTGTCAGATTTCGCAGACTCAACAAACGCAATGTTTTTGCCCCTCTTGAGACCTGTTACGAGGGGAAAGATGCCTCGTGAGAAGAATTCATGAAACCGCAAGACTTACAAAAGGAGTTTTCTGAGATATAAATTGTACACAAAACGTCCTCATTTTTTGTTTTAAATTTTCCACTTCTGTTGCTTTTCAGACCCCTCTCGAACATCCTGTGGACACATGAAGATGCTTTCTCCAGAGTCAGCCCACTTCATGTAGTACTGTCTACTCAACCACATCTCTCATTTTCCTGTAGAACAGGTCCTTTCCAGCTTTGATAACTGAGATTCTTACAAATGAGCATTGGATGTTGGCATGATCTGCTACTAGGATATGGGACTTCCAGAGTTGTGGTCATTTCATCATCCTTATGGTCAGCGGTGGTAAATGTTCCACTTGGCATTTAGTCCAGTCTTGTCCAACTCTAGGGCGTGGTGCTCATCCCCATTTCCAAGTCGTAGAGCCAGCGTTTTGTCCGTAGACAGTTTCTGTGGTCACATGGCCAGCATGATTGGGCACGGAACGCCGTTGCCTTCCCACCAAGATGGTGCCTATTTATCTACTCACATTTACATGCTTTCAAACTGCTGGATTGGCAGGAGCTGGGGCAAGCGACAGGAGCTCCCTCCGTCGTGTGGATTCAATCTTACAACTGCTGGTCTTCTGACCTTGCAGCACAGAGGCTTCTGCGGTTTAACCCGCAGTGCCACCATGTCCCTTAGGGACGTCTCTATACACAATGATAAATCAGAATGCCAACATGCTGATTCTCCAGAAAGGTTTTCTTCCAGAAGAGCCTCACTTAGCATTTTCTTTTTCCTGCTGAACTCAGGGGAATGTTGTGTGGGGAGAGAGATAGAGAGATAGAGGGAGAAGCAAGAATTGAAAAATATAACAACTATCAAATACATTCTCGGCCTCCCCTTGGCTTATTAAGCTTGGTGGGAAATTATGTTTGTCCAAGGATTTGGGTAGGAGACTGGCGTACAAATTGGAATCAAGCCCACACTCTGTCACAGCTCCCTGCCAATGACACATTGACGTCCTGACACAGGCTGCATGAGAAGCGCACAGTCTTTGGAGAAAAGTTCTTCTCCACAATGTCCTGTCCTCAAAAGCCCTGCTCAGAATCAATACGATGGCTTCTCTTAGGGAATCCCTCTGTCTCACGTTTTATCTTCCTCTTTTCCTGCTGCCTTCCAAGCTTTATTGTCTTTTCCAGAGAATCCTGCCTTCTCATCACAATCACAATCACAATCACTGTTCTCGCCCATGAGTTTCTTCCTTCCTCAAGTGATCGGATCATATTCAGCTGCTCTTCCTTCTCTCATAGGCTTCTCATACGAGTTTCTTCCTTCCTCAAGTGATCGGATCTATTTGTGCTAAGATCATATTCAGCTGTTCTTCCTTCTCTCATAGGCTTCTCATATATCTTGTCAATGATTTTTGTACATGCTGAGAATTGTTGTTGTTGTTTATTCATTAAGTCATGTCTGATTCTTCGTGATCCCATGGACCAGAGCACGTCAGGCCCTCCTGTCTTCCGCTGCCTCCTGGAGTTGGGTCAAAGTCTTGTTGGTAGCTTCGATGACCCTGTCCATCCATCTCATCCTCTGTTGTCCCCTCCTCCTCTTGCCTTCACACTTTTCCTATATCAGGGTCTTTTCCAGGGAGTCTTCTCTTCTCATCAGATGGCCAAAGTATTGGAGCCTCAGCTTCAGGATCTGTCCTTCCAGTGATCACTCAGGGTTGATTTCCTTCAGAACAGATAGGTTTGATCTCCTTGGAGTCCAGGGGACTCTCAAGAGTCTCCTCTAGCAATTCAAAAGCATCAATTCAATTCCAACAAATCAAAAGCATCAGTTCTTTGGTGGTCAGCCTTCTTTATGGTCCAGCTCTCACTTCCATGCATTGCTACAGGAAAGACCATAGCTTTGACTATGCGGACCTTTGTCAGCAAGGTGATGTCTCTGCTTTTAAAGTTGTTGTCTAGGCTTGTCATCGCTTTCCCCCCGAGAAGCAGGCGTCTTTTAATTTCATGGCTGCTACCACCATTGGCAGTGATCATGGAGCCCAAGAAAGTAAAATCTGTCACTGCCTCCATATCTTCCCCTTCTATTTGCCAGGAGGTGATGGGACCAGTGGCCATGATCTTAGTTTTTTTGATGTTGAGCTTCAGACCATTTTTTGCACTCTCCTCTTTCACCCTCATCACGAGGTTCTTTAATTCCTCCTCACCTTCTGCCATCAGAGAGGTATCGTCTGCATATCTGACATGCTGGGAATACACAGATATACATAGAAGATCTCCCATATCCACGGGGGATGAGTTCCAAGCCCCACCCCCACAGAAGCTGAAAAATGCATGTTATAACAAACACTATACATAGCATGGCCTAGTGGCCAGTTCTGGTAATGACATCATAGAAATATATATCTCTAACCAACAGTACACATAGCATGGTCTATGCCCCCCTCTAGTGGCCCATTCTGGTAATTTCATCTTTAGAAAATATATCTTTCTAGGATTTTTTAAAATATTTTTAATATTTTCATACCATGGATCATTGAATCAGAGGATACTGATCTGGTGGATAAGGGGGGGGGGGTTCTTACTGTACATGTATGTCTGTGTGACTTATAAATTGACCCAAGATGTTAAACAGACCTGCTTTGCAAGACTGACATATATTACACAGATAGTAGCAGATGGGGTGAAGCACTCATAGAGAAAAGTTAGAGTTCTGCCCAAATGTAACAACCCCGCAGCACCATGGTCGGCCTCTAATGGCCAGGCCACCCGGCCCAGGCAAGAGATCCATCCATCTAGGGACTGAACAGGACACCACATGTTTCTGGAGAAAGTGCTACCACCTTGAAGCAAAGTACAAATGGTATCTATCATCCTTTTGGGCAATGTTTAACTCCAAGATAGAAATAGTCAACCATGACTGAATGGCGGGGTAATGACAGGCCTCCTGTAATACAAATGTCCCCTCCGAGTGCTGACTAAGCCTTTCCCTACGAGCCTTGGAGAAGGGGGAGGGGGAAGCCCTCCACTTCATAATCACCTTCTCCAAAAAAACACGTTGGAGGTCAACTTCCCATTTGCCCTTGATCAATCTCCGCAAGTGTGGAAAAACAAGCCTGTTGCGCTGTGTCTCCTCCTCGTCCCATTTGTCAGCCAGGGATCTGGCACTCTCTTTAGTCTTTTTATTAGTTCTGCTTGTGAGAGACATTCGCACAGAGGCCTTGCTTAATGCAGCGAGCGCAGTACATCTTTCTCTGTTAGAGGTAGCCATTATTCACCAGGCGGCCGGAATGTGATGGGGAGTTAATGAAGCCCTACACGCGAAAGGAAAGTGCCTCCTTGCCCCGGTGACTACCTTTTCATCAGCTGCCGGTATCTTTGTATCCCCTTCCTCAGCTTTTTCCTTGGAGTGACTTCTTTCGGGACTGAAAGAAAGTGGGCCTAAGCTAACATCCTTGGAGAAGGATCAGCAGAAACGAGTGTCTTTGGGTTGGCGGTGGCAGTGAACCCACTCTGGGCTTTAGCTTGAACTTTATAGAAGCTGTCCAGGGTGCTCCGTGATATCCCCCTTAATGATTTCAGCACCTTGGACAACTCCTGTAATGTCTAGACTGAAGCCCAGAACAGATTTACTGGCCTCTTGATTTTGAAATTGTAAGGAAAGACTGAAAGGCATCTCCAGGTTTTTACTTTGGGATGGAGGAGGTGTTGCACCCCTGGTGCTGTTTTAACGGGCGCCCCATTTAATGACGAATCCGCATAGCGACGATTTTTTTAATGGGAAAATTTCGCTTTGCAATGATCGGTAAGCTGTTTCGCTTACCGATTTTCGCATAGCGATGATTTTCCAACACTTTCCCTTGTGAAGCAGCCTTTCATGTTGTCTCTGGAACCAAGCAAAGCCTTTATTTGAATTCATCCATATAGGGAACGATCACATTAACAGCAACACTGATTAGCTAAAGTGGATAAAGCAAGTTAAGTGATATAAATTTGTCACCATGAAGCATGCCTTCAATTGAATAATCAATAAACGCTCAATTGGAGAGACAGCGAAGCCATGATGATCCCGAGATGCTTTAATATCCTCTTAGGGATGAGTCTGTTTGCTGAAGGAAGCTCTCGTATTGAGTAGCAAATGTGTAGGAGTGCAATGCCATAAACTGTTGCATGAAATACACCCAGGTGTCCATAGCTTCTTTCCTCCCACATGAGACACAAAGAGGTTTTTAAGACGGCCATCCCTTAATTAAAATTAAGCCACGGGAAGTCATGGGAAGATGATGGATGGGGTGATAAGGAGACATTAGGAGCCCCAAGAAGCTGATTAAAGGGGAGAGCTAAACGTTATCTAAATATTTTCAACTGGCCCTCGATGCACTGCCATCTTGGAAAGAAGGAATCCTGGTAAATTCAGATATAACAAGGAGAAATATGAAAATGAGCACTGATATTAGAACATGTACAACATAAGAACCTCAGAAGACCTCTGGTGGATCAGGCCAAGGGCCCATCTAGTCCAGCTCCCTGTATCTCCCAAGGGCCCCACCAGATGCCTCCGGGAGCCCACGAGATCATGAGATCCCTATCTCCTGATCCCCCTCCCCTGCATCTGGCCTTTGGAGGTCCCTTCCTTCTAAGCCATCATGGCTTGTAAGTGGCGATGGAGTTTTTCTCCAGGAATCTGTCCAGTCCCCTTTGAAAGGCATCTAGGCTAGATGTCGTCACCACATCTTGTGGCAAGGAGTTCCACAGACTAACAGCCCGCTGGGTCAATAAATCTTTTCTTTGGTCTGTTTTCACTCTCCCAACACTCCTTTGGAAATGGGTGTCCCCTGGTTCTGGTGTTGTGTGGGAAGGGAATTCCCCTCTGCCCACTTGATCAATCCCCTGCATAACATGGGTTGGGTTTAGTCAGCTCATTTGGATCTTTTCTTCCAAAATGCGCCCACATTGCCCCCAAAATGATTTTTTTTTTTTTGGAACGAGTGCACTTCTGGGCTCTGTCCACACGGCTGTATTTGATTGCTTTCAGTCTGATGTCCTGCTGAGTGTCGTGCTGAAATTTCTCCCACTTCTTTTTAACCATTTCCATTTCATTTGAAAGAAAGGAAAAGGGGCGATACTTCCATGGCGGATTCATAAGTCAGCCCACCTGGATTCCAGCTGCTTCTGCAGATCAGGCATCTACACATGATCTGTTGATCAAGAGTTCACATGGTTACTTGAAATGGCTGTTCGTCATATTAAGACATAGGAAAGGAAGTTTTTCTTGCAAAGTGTTTGAATTCCTGGTAAAATTCCTTTTATTAGGCAAAAAAAATCCACAGAGGAGAATAGCTTCAAATTCCCCAGATAATCCACCCCTTTCTCTTAAACGGGCACCTCAGCTCTCAATAACTCACTCTGAGACATTTGTAGGAGAAAGGATAAACAGGTTTCATTGCTTAACGATTGTGAACAGATCGACAGCAAACAAACAACTGACGGCAACAGAAGAAACAGAGCAGAGAACAGAGGGTCAGGGCTTGCTTTGAATTCAGAGGTATGAAGAAAGGATTGGTTAATGCTGAATAAATTGACATTCACCCCGGCTAGCCATCATGCGAGGCTGCAAAAACTCTGACAGTCTTGGCCCTCCAGCTGTTTTGATCTCAGCATGGCAAACAGATGACGTACAAAACATCTGTCGGATTAAAACTTCCCCACTGCTGGGATACAACAACCATCTCTATTCTTCTGCCTCTTTATTTTCTTAACTGGCCCTGCTAAAGATGACAACAGCAGCACCTAGCTTAAAGAAGAACAGAACTATATATCTGGATTCCTTTCCAAAGCATAAAATATCCCTTCCTGTCCCCAAATGAGTCTCGTGAATTGTGGATGCAATAACTAACAAGTAGCGCTTTAAGACCATTAGAACACAATGTTGGCTATTCCAATTATTATTAAGAATGACATTAACAGCCATTCAATAATCTATGGTGTGGTGAGCTATTACAGAGGTGTTGGGCTCACCTTAATTCATCTGAAATCATATTTAACAAAGGGAGAGAACGTATACTAGGTTGTATGCCAGTCTAGGCTGTATGTCTTCTGCTCATTCATAATGTGGTGGCACATGAGCAACTTTGAGTACTTTCCTTTAGCAAGTTCAGAGCCTCATCCCATATATCTTTTTTAAAGACAGGTTCCGAGGCTCAAAGTGCGTAAATGAAGGATGTCAAGAATGCTCAAAAAAAGGCTCATTCTTGGCTGCTTCCCAAGTATAGTCATTCCAGGATTGATTATCGAGACTTTTATCTGCACCTGGTCTTGTCCCTCTACTCCCCATCTTTTCTGACTTTTCTTTTGTAAGAATTCTTTGCTACTCGATGCTGTGTGACAAAAAAAATGTGGATTATAGTGAACACTATTTTAATAGAGAATGCTATACATAGCATGGTCTTTGAGTCCCTCTAGTGGTCAGTCCTGGTAACTTCATCTTTAGAAACATGTACAGTATTTCTAAGATTTTTCTGTTAATATTTTTAATATTTTCAGGCTGTAGATACGGAAATCAGTGGATGTCGATCCCATGGCTATGGGCATGTGTGTTTTCTACTCTATTCTATTGGTGTTTTTTCCAATGGGAAAAAGAGTAGCCAAAGAAACTGAGACAAGGAGTCCTGCTAGATGTCTCAATGGATAAAGAAAAAATACCTGCACCAATAAATAAAGTCCCCATTCCAGATTCTCACTTAGAGGGTAAGGTGGTGAAATCCATAGGACTGGTAGAACCTGGAGATTCCCCGAGCACTTTCAGAAATGTCAAGGCTTTTTTGGTGCATTCTGGACACATGCCTTCACACCCCGGAGTAAAAAGTTCCAGAGAATTTCCTAGAGGCCGTTGAAGAATCAAGAAGGGCGCGACCAGCTAGCAATATGGGACCACACTGGAAAGGGATACTTTGCTGGGTGTAATCTTTACAGGGACCCTTCCCTGCACATGTGAGCCAAGCCTGATCATTTCAGCCCAACTCCAAAATTAAATAGAGAATAACCCTGTTGAGAGACTAAATTGGGCATAGGAACCAGGATCAGGTTGGTTCATGAGCTTTTGTTCATGGCTGTTGTTCTTGCTTCAACTTATATACCACCCCACAGGGCTAGAGGATTCTCTGGGTGGTTTACAACATAATTATGCGAGGACAATTTGCCCCCCAATTAGCTGGGGTACTCATTTTATTGACCTTGGAAGGATGGAAGGCCAAGTCACCCTTGAGCCGGCTACCTGAGCCCGTTCAGGATTGAACTCAGATCATGAGCAGAGGCTTGATGGCAGTACTGCAGTTTAACTACTGTGCCACAGTTTTGTTTCAGCCTGAATATGTAGCAGGGAAAGAAGAATTGTCTCCAACCCCGAAAACACATGCCCATCTATCATTATTTAACAACATTATCCATTCAGCCAGACACCGCATCAGTGCTTCCAAGACCTACCTCTCGAGCAATCTATGCACGTCTATTAAAGGTGCAATAGAAAGCAACTGTATTTGTGGCTGGCAATGATATTGTCTGGTCATTAGACGCTTCAAAAAGTGAGCTAAATTGCCATCTGATTACACACACAGGTCTTGTTTCCATTTACACCCATTTGCAACCAGAATTTGGAGGAAGTAATTTGTCTGGGGTACGGCTCCCAGGTTTTCTCAGCTACTGACCATGCCAGCTGCTGGGAGTCACGCCACTACCAAATGGTTTTTGAGCTCTGATATAATAGCATAACAACCTTTGCATCTCCAGGTTAAAAATCCCCCTTCTTTTCTACGGCATTTAACCTTGCAGTGTCACCTTTGCGTACTCTACACACCTCCTGCTTTTCCGCATCATATACGTTTTATTACACTGTATTTAAGCTGGCATGATTAATTTTATTCATGTCTGTTTTTAACACCCTGAGAGCCACTGGGATGAAGGAAGGTATAGAAATAGTTTTCATATGAATATGAATCTGTTTGTGCTACTCTTCACATGGATGAATGGTCAATGCAGAGTCTTCAGGCAAGACATACTCCAGTACTAGTGTTTGGAGGTAGAAAGGAAGTACTGTGGGTATAAAATAGCAACCCCCCATTTCTCTGTGATACATTGGGAGATCAATGAGTCCATTAACTAAATAGCAAATCTGTTCTACGTCAAGTGGACCAGCTTTATTGGACTGTAAATCATCTCACTGTTTCATAGCGCACCTCTTGGAGTGCAACGGGATCTCTTATTAAGCAAGTGTGCAGAACGGCAGCCTTAGACACACTAATGAACCAGGGAGGCTCTCATCTGCCAACTGCTTAAGTTGTTGGACAATTCAGCCTGCCTCTTAATAAATAAAGGTAATAAAGAGGGATGTTGGCACGTCTTTGGGTCCAAGTCCCAAGTCCGACTCCAAGTCTTTGGGCCCGAGTCCCAAGTTTGACTCCAAGTCTTTGGGTCCGAGTCCCAAGTCCGACTCCAAGTCTTTGGGCCCGAGTCCCAAGTTTGACTCCAAGTCTTTGGGTCCGAGTCCCAAGTCCGACTCCAAGTCTTTGGGCCCGAGTCCCAAGTTTGACTCCAAGTCTTTGGGTCCGAGTCCCAAGTCCGACTCCAAGTCTTTGGGCCCGAGTCCCAAGTTTGACTCCAAGTCTTTGGGTCCGAGTCCCAAGTCCGACTCCAAGTCTTTGGGCCCGAGTCCCAAGTTTGACTCCAAGTCTTTGGGTCCGAGTCCCAAGTCCGACTCCAAGTCTTTGGGCCCGAGTCCCAAGTTTGACTCCAAGTCTTTGGGTCCGAGTCCCAAGTCCGACTCCAAGTCTTTGGGCCCGAGTCCCAAGTTTGACTCCAAGTCTTTGGGTCCGAGTCCCAAGTCCGACTCCAAGTCTTTGGGCCCGAGTCCCAAGTTTGACTCCAAGTCTTTGGGTCCGAGTCCCAAGTCCGACTCCAAGTCTTTGGGCCCGAGTCCCAAGTTTGACTCCAAGTCTTTGGGTCCGAGTCCCAAGTCCGACTCCAAGTCTTTGGGCCCGAGTCCCAAGTTTGACTCCAAGTCTTTGGGTCCGAGTCCCAAGTCCGACTCCAAGTCTTTGGGCCCGAGTCCCAAGTTTGACTCCAAGTCTTTGGGTCCGAGTCCCAAGTCCGACTCCAAGTCTTTGGGCCCGAGTCCCAAGTTTGACTCCAAGTCTTTGGGTCCGAGTCCCAAGTCCGACTCCAAGTCTTTAGTCTGAGTTCCAAGTCCAACTCCAAGCCTTTGAGTTTGAGTCCCAAGTCCGACTCCAAGTCTTGGGTTTGAGTCCCAAGTCTGACTCCAATTCTTTGAGTCCAAGTCCCAAGTCTGACTCCAAGCCTTTGAGTCTTGAGTCCCAAGTCGACTCCAAGTCCTTGGGTCTGAGTTCCAAATCCGACTCCAAGCCTTTGAGTCTTAGTCCCAAGTCTGACTCCAAGTCTTTGGGTCTGAGTCCCAAGTCTAAGGCTTCAGCCTGAGTCTAGAGTCATTTGCATCGGGGACAGGGCAAATGATTTGAGACTCAAACTCAAGACTTGAGGCTTGGGACTTGGACCCAAAGTCTTGGACTGCAGATGTTTTAGAAACATCTGCAGCTGAGTCACTGGTGAAACTTGAGACTCAACAGTGAGTTGCAACTTCCAAGCCCCCAACCTTGGTAATAAGAACTGTTTATTTCTTTACTTGTTATGAAGCAGATGTACTGGCTTCATGTACATTGTCTCTCTAGCCCATTGAACATTCCCTTTCCCCTGCTTTCGATTTCTCCTCCCTTCCACTTTTTTTTATACACAATTTTTCCACTTCCCCTTATCCTGTCATGGAGTCTCTCCCTCACTCTTGGGTAATCATTTCCTCCCTTCCTTTCAGGCATGTTAAATCATCTCAATAAAATAGTCTCACATTCACATAACTGTAGACATACAAATTTGAGCTACATAAATCTGGATGAAAATCACAAGTTTACTGTTGTCATGATGTTCATAGATGAAAGATTTTATAGTGTTACATGAAAAAAAAGAGCTATTTCTACTGAATGTGGTACTTTTCAAAAGGCTGTAGGACTCTACGAAGTCAGCCCACTATGGAGGTTCTTTCACTTACCTTCTCCTGCTATCTAAAGCCCCATAGGTAGAACTGTCTGAGGTTCTACCTGGTGATGTTGATGACCACAAGAGCCTGGTGGTGACTCCAGTATTGTCGGAGGGCTGAATCTGCTCTGGGTTTAATTCTGTACTTCAAAGAGCAATTCAAGTGGACAGAATGTTTGGGGAGATGGGTCACCCTCTTGGTCAGATCTTATAAAGGCTGGACTGAAACCTAGAATGGGATTCATCGCAGCTCATAGGCATGTGTATGCGCAGAGACAGCAGGCTCGGCTCCGGGAAGGGAAGGTAGTAGGAAGGGGGTGAGCAGCATACGTTTTGCCAAAGCAAGACAAACCAGCAAGCAGAAGAAATCTCAGTGCATCGTTTTGTTTGAGCAGAATGGAATGCGCAAACTGAATTACAAACCGAACTGCAAACCACCCCGATTTGTGGTTTTTGTCCAGTTCGCAGTTCAGTTCATGGCAGTCTTTAATCACAAGCTTTCCACATATAAATTCCAGAAGCACCTTGCCGCAGTTGTCAGGAGGTGCGAAACAGCTACGTTTGTTGAGCCTCTTGATTCCAACGACGTTCTTCTATATTTCTCATACAAGATGAGCAAATCTCAACGCAGAGGAGTCCTGCCATCGTTTTTCTAGTGCCTCTTCTGGAGCCCCTTTATACTTTAGTCAATGTCCTTGTTGGAAGTCAATAACCTTCTAGGATTTCCTTGTCTGCCTTTGAGAACGTGACGGGGGCTGTGCTTCCCCCGGTTTTATATTTGACATTAGTTACCTTAACAGCCTTTCCTTTAAGCTTCAGAAGAACACCCCCAAGGAGATGGAGTTTGTCTCCTTTGGGTGATAAATAAAGCTGGAATTGTCGCTGTTCAGGACCTCAACGGCAGTAATTTTGAGCAATGACTTCTAAGGGCGAACAGTTCTTCCAGAAGTCTATTTTTTTTGCAGGCCTCCACTACTATAACCCATTGGCTTCTGTATTTATGTGACAGCACTCAACCAGAGCAGGAAGCCGGTCCCCACTAATGAAAGGCTCTTTCAGGGGCGTTCCTCTCAGGTTCACCCTTTCCCCTCCGCTGTTTTTCATCTTCATCCTTTTTTGCCCTCGGGGAAATATGATTGTTCGCTTTCTCTCCGCCTCCCCCCTCATTCGCTGGCGCTGCCACCTGCATGATGATGAATAAATCGGGTGAAGGAAGCTGGAGATTCTGGATGGGCAAACTCTTAAAAGAGAAATCCTGTCTCTCCTTCTCTGTCACTCAACTCAAAGGAAGAGCTTCAACTCATATCTAAAGGTAGCACCGCTTCTTATGTGTAGAAGCGCCTTTGAGCGCTGGAACCAACAGCTGGCGTAAGATGGCTCATTGGCCATCACTCTGACTTCCTTTGGTGTTCTATTCATTTTATTTAAATCAAATAATGTGTTTATTTATTTAGCCTGCCAGAGTGGGAAGGTCCAGATTTCTGTGATGTGTTATGTTTAAGCAATAGGATATCATCCCGTTTGAGTGTTTGTGCATTTGCACATGTGCTCAGCAGAAAGAAGAGAGGAGGTGGAGGTGGAAGAAAGGATAATACACCAGTATTTTAAAAAAAACTTGAACCACAATTCCTACAGTTCCCATCAAGATGCTTAACTGATTGTAGGACCCTAAGAGTTTTTCTCCTATAAGTTACATTTCCTCCCAACATTTCTATTTTTAAGCTCTGAGATATATGTATTGAGATGGTGGTTCCCAACCTTTGGGGGACAGAGGTTCTTGGACTGCAACTCCCAGAAATCCTGGCCGGCACATCTAGTGCTGAAGGCTTCTGGGAGTTTTAGCCCAAGAATATCTGGGGACCCAAGGTTGGGAACCACTGCACTTAAGAGAATCAGAAAGAAAAGAGAGTGGAAAGAAGAGAGTGGAGGGTAGATACGTTGCTTTGATCCCAACTCTGCAGTTCTGACCCACGTTACTTTTGAGATATGCCATGACAGTCATTGACATCAGGCCTGAGAACATTTGATCCAAATCAGTTCAGGCTGAAAATATTTCACCTGTCTTGCTCTACTCTGAACCCATCTTCAGGTGATGAAGTGGTTTTCAAAATGTCTACCTTCATAGGACCTTCCTTCTTTAAATATGCCTTTAAAAGGGGTTTGGACAGATTCCTGGAGGAAAAGTCAATTGCAGGTTACAAGCCGTGATGGGGATGTATAATCTCCAGGCTTAAAAGGAAGGTACTTCGAAATGGCAGATGCAGGGGAGAGGTATCGGGAGACAGGTATGCTCCCAGAGGTATCTGTTGGGGCCACTGTGAGATACAGGAAGCTGGACCAGATGGACCCTTGGCCGGATCCAACAGGGCTCTTCTTATGTTCTTTTGGCCACATCTGGAGGGAGTGAATCACCCCTTCTCATCCAAACGAATAAGATTAAATTCATCCATACTTAGCTTGACCCATTGATTTCTTTTAGACTAATGTGTGATTAAACTCCTCTGGAACCCATCCATTGTATTTTAACCACTTCCAGGCAATAAGGTGAAAAGTGGCAAGGCAGCAGCCAGGAGGAGGAGGAGGAGAAATATCTCCACATTACCTCCTTTCCAACTTATTTTCCCTCAACCCTTATCAGCTTGTAGAAAACTCACAAAGAAGTTTTAGGTACGGCTATGCCTTCAGGGTTCTGAAATAATGGCCTTGAAATATGAATTTTGGAAGCTTGATGTACAGAAACTAATTTTGAAGTCAGCTTGGCCTGTGTGTACCAAAAATATGACATCCTTCTGTGCCCATTCTGTGTCTCCATAGTTTGCCTTCCGCAGAAATGGCAGCTGCATATTTCAAACTGATTTCAACATCTTAACTTGGGTATATAGTTTACTGAACACCATCCTGACTCCTCAAGGTCAACTTGAAACCTAAACTCAGATATGTTCCAAGGCCATGTTATGCTTGCTGGATGTGTGAAGAACCTCAAAACAACTCAGTAGATAAGCATAGAATAATTGAGTTAGAAAGGGCCTATAAGGCCATTGAATACAGTTCTCTGCTCAATGCAGGAATCCACAACAAAGCCAGTCTGACAGATGGTTGCCCAACTTGCTGTTGAATGCCTCCAGCACTGGAGTGCTCACCACCATACCAATGGTAATGGATCCCATTGTCGTACTGCTCTTACAATTAAGATGTTTTTCCTGATATTCAGCCTAAATCAGGCTTCTTGTAGTTTGAGCCCATTATTACATGTGGCATGGCAATCTTACATGTCACATCCTTTACTCACTTGTACAGTCAGGGATTTTCTCAAGATCTTACTGTAGAGACGGCCGCTGTGAACCCCGCAAGGCAGCCTGGAAGAGATGCTTCAATCCCTGCACGACATCTTGCCTCCAGTGCAAGAGTGATACCTCAGCAGCTGTTGATAAAAATGTTCTCTACCAAGCGTTCCCTTTGTGCACATTTGCTGACACACAAAGCAATCATGAAAGGACAGGGTGGATCATTTGCCTGGCACGGGCAGCTGCCAAGTGGACTGGGTGTATTCTGGGAGTTGTAGTCCAACACAGGCAAGCTCAGCATATCTGCCCCCCCCCCACCAAGGAGAGAGAGAGAGAGAGAGAGAGAGAGAATGCATATGTGATGATTTTTATGGCCGAAAGTAATATTCAGCATAAATCCGAGGGCAGAATGAAGCAACGACCCGAGAAAGCATATATTTCAACTAGAAATTTTCTTTTCTTTCTCTCTCCTCCTAACCCCTTGCCCTTCGTGAGTCTTCCTTGTGCATTTTAATGCTTTGCTCTTTTCCAGAAATAGTCTTCCAGCTGGGCCTTATTAATACAGGCCTTCATTAAAAAGCAACCTTTTGTAATGAAAATATCTCGAAAGCTCTAGGCTGGATTTAATAAGCCAAGTGGAATTAGTATCCCACAGAGGCTACGATTTTTCCCCAAAGCTTCACTCCCACAATGAGGAATAGAGGAAGGGACAGACTGTTTTAACTGGTATTAGGGCTAATCTAGAAGTGGAGTAACCGTCATCAGGATGGCTGTTCTGCTCATTCCACCCTTGTCAAGCTCAGCAATCTTTCCATGCCATTTTAGGAAAATAATTGCAAATATGGATA